AATAATAATAATAATAATAATAATAATAATAATAATAATAATAATAACAACAACTTTTGTGTAAAGGCATGTAACTAGTATGGGGAGTTGCTAAAATTGGAATTATTTTCTATGGTTGGAATGCATGATGTATTTGTTTATTAAACTTATATGCTATCCATCTCACCTGGGTGGCTTATAACAACTATATAAAACACTGAAACAATAGAAAATAATACTAAATTTGGTTTAAAATTGACAAAGTTGAGAAGAAGGGAGCAAGATGCACATAGGGAGGAGCCAGGGTATTACCTTAGTCCAGTGGTCCTCAATCTTTATGGTTTGATGGCTGCGGGAGGGGACAAGGGAACTGAGCTGCATGAACAGTGGGCTTGTACACACACACACACAGGCATGGGTTGCTAAACTTGCACAAATTGAGCTGCACATGCACTGGCCTGCCACTTTGATTTGTCGAGTTGCACACTTGTGCATGCTCATGCACTCTGGCCCACTGCTCATATGGCCCAGTTCCAACTAGGCCATGGCCTAGTTAGTGACCTATGGGCTGAGGGTTGGGGACCCCTCTCTTAAATTATTGAAACACTATTGAGGCCCCCGGCCAATTGGCAGAGCCAGTCTTGACTGCCAAAGGGTGGGTATGGATCTCACCTGACAGGGCACAATGTTGCAGAGGGTGAGAACTATGAAATAAAAGCTCTTTCCCAGACCCCACCAGACAGAATTCCTTCACTGATAGGATCTGCAGCATGTCCATTCTGGCAGCATGGGTGATCTCGACCAATTTTTAGACGGAGAGAGAAGATCACTCAGAGTTTACATTGAAATATGGAAGCTTGTAAGAATGTTCACCCAATTGGATTGCATAACTTTTGAATACCATACATAAAGATTTCAGAGTAATCTACATGTATAGAGAAATGCAGGATTAAGAGTTTAGGTGTGCATTCTGTTAAAACATCATCTACAGGCTGATGTCCATAGAGGAATTAGTTCTTCTCATAAATTCCCTTTTTCCATCCTAATTTCACATTTTTAACTTTCCAATTACGTCTGATTCTACGTGCTACTGCAGCGCAATGGTTAGAATGCAGACTACTTCTGCTGATCACCGGCTGCCAGCAGTTTGGCAGTTTGAGTCTCACTGGCTCAAGGTTGACTCAGCCTTCCATCCTTCCAAGATTGGTAAAATGCGCACCACAGATTGTTGAGGGCAATATACTGACTCTGTGAAACTGCATAGAGAGGGTTGTAAAGCATTGTGAAGCTGTATATAAGTCTAAGTGCTATTGCTACTTTAGCTTTCTTTACCAAATTACACTAATTTCACCTCATTATACTATTCTAATCTCTATTTGCAATTATTCATCTACTCATTGTTCTGTAACATCCCCATGACACACACTTTATAATGTTAAGTGTTTGTTTTTTGAATATGTTACTTATAGATTCTAAAATCTATGGTGTAGCTTAAATTATTCTTGAACCTCCTTGCTGCTGCCTTTCTGTTGTTTGTTCTGAAGTGTAATTTCAGACTTAACATTTTTTTCCTCTCTTAACTATTCTTT